GGCTTTTTAATGAAGTATCTGGGCACTTTACTGTAACTGCTTTCTTTAGTTTTACTGGGAAAGCATTTTGTTTAAAGTCTAGTCTCACTAGCTATATTCATGTTTGAGGGAACAAAATTCTTTTTCTCCTGTGTGTCGACTAAAGGTTAATACTTAGAGTAGCGTTCTTCAACTCTTACACCCGGGGACCGGAACCTATCTTTCATAATAGTCCACAGACTGGCAATTATCACCAAGGTAGTTGGCCAGTGGTTTTCCACCTGTCTACATGCCTGGACCCAGAGGAATGGTGCTTTGGAGGCCTTTGCTGTGTTGAGAAAGGTTCTATTAAATCAATCACCCTTCTCACACTTTTATCGTCTATTGGAATTATTCTCCTTAAAAAGTTAACAACTGGGAAACAAAATTAAGAGCCTGTGGCTGATGAGATAGTACTGGGGCTAAGGCATTTGCCTTGCATGTGGCTAACATTCCCCCGAGCATGGCTATGGCAGGAAGCAAGCCTGAGCACAGAGCCAGAAGTAGCCCCAGGAACAGCCAGCCAACTACGGCTCCAACACACACACACACACACACACACACACACGCGTGCGCGCACGCGCGTACATGCACTAAATCCTGTCATGTCAAGTATAAGTTGCATTCACATTACAGGTTGCTCTAGTAAATACAGCTGATAGAGAAAGAACACCAATAATAAAGATTATTTAGGTGGTGATGGTGATGGAACACCAGAATCAGAGACAGGTGAAATCTGAGAAACTACCGAACTGAATCCCTTAATGAACAGATGAAAAAATGAGGTGCTAAGAGCTAAGATTTCTTATCCTAACTTCCACAGGTTAATACAGAGAGAAGAATGAGAAATCAACTCTCCTGTCTCAAATTCTGTGGTATTTCAAAACTAACAGCGCATTTTCACTGAGCATTTAAAAAGACATAACCTGCCAGTTTAGAAATTAAGTTCTCAAGTTTTTTTAAATCAATAAGCACCACAAAACTAAAAAGCTGCTCTGCAGGTAGCAGGTAAACAGAACAAAACCCTCAGGGCCACACAAAAAGTAGTGTAATCCACTCTACTCCATAAACTAGGAAAAACTGGGAAAATGTCACTGTCTTATAAACACTAACATATCTAGAGAATGATAATTACCAAGATAATGGGACATTGAATCTTCAAAATACGAATTATTAGGAAGCAAAAAGCTGTTTATCAAGGGAAAATTGGTTAACAGTAAGCAGTAAGAAGAGAGTAAATGAGAAATGTTGTCACACCCACCACAATGCCCAGGACCCAGCAGACTGCAGAGAGGTGACTGGTGTCCCAGTCAGCAGCAGAACTGGCCCTCTGATGCAGTTCCTGGATGGCTCTCTCTCCGGAAGTGCCAAGGAACTGACAGGAGACTGACTAACATCAAGTGAAACTTTATTTGATCTTTCTGGCAACAAAATTATACTTTCTTTTTTTTCCCTCTTTTGTTTTTGATTTTTTTTTTTAATCACACCCGTCAATGCTCAGGGATTACTCCTGGCTCTGCATCCAGGAATTACTCCTGGTGGTGCTGGGGGACCATATGGGATGCCGGGGATTGAACCTGGGACGGCTGTGTGCAAGGCAAACACCCTCCCCACTGTACTATCGCTCTGGCCCCTTCTCTTTCCTTTTGGTCTTTTTGGTCATATCCCGCAATGCTTAGGGATCACCATGGAGCTTACGAGACCATGCTTTCTTCATTTGGGGAACATAAAGTAACAAAATAGGAAACTAATAACCAAGAATGGCCGAGATTAGTACCAGGAATTTTACTCCATGGCTTGGAGGCCAGCCACATATGCTAGGGGGAAAGGGAACTCAGATAGTGAAGGGAGCACCAAATAAAGGGTGTTGGGAGGATCCTCCCAGGATGGGAGAAGCATGCTGAAAGTAAACTATAAACAAAACATGATTGCCACCCATTGCCTCTGTTGCAAACCACAACACCCAACAGGAGAGAGAGAACGAAAGGGAATGCCCTGCCACAGAGGCAGGGTGGGATGGGGGGCTTGGGGGGTGGGAGGGATACTGGGAATCGTGGTGTTGGGAAATGGGCACTGGTGGAGGGATGGGTATTTGATCATTGTATAATTGAAACCCAAGCACAAAAATTTGTAAGTCTACAACTGTATCTCATGGTGTCTCACTAATATAAATTAAAAAAAAAAAAGAGAGAGAGACCATGCTTTGGCGGGGATCAAGCCTGGCCCTCTTACATGCAGACATACACTAGGTCCAAGGAGACAGCTTCCCAGACCCATACTTTGTAATTAGAGATAACAGATAAAGTTAATTAACATTTAATGACATCATTACAAATCAACCAAACAGGAATGTCTATAGAAACGGCTGGCTCTGGGTAGACCTTATTTTCTTTCCTACAAAGTTTTGGAACCTAACAGAAAATGATAATCCTACATAAATTTAACAGCATATGATTTAAAATTAAATTAGGAAAAAAAAAAGACAAATTACATGGAAGTAAAGTCCACTTAATCTTTCTATTCCCTTGCAAAACTCATGTCAGTGGAGGAAAAAAGGAAAATTAAATTATAAAGATATGTCAACATATTTTTATGTCAAACAGAAATTCTGTAAGAATAATATACAAAATTAGACAGCTACTCAAAACATAGCTGAATTACATGTAAACACTTTTTCCCTATTTGAATTAGTTGCAAAAAGATATGGAGGAAGTTTAAAAGACTCACAAGATCCCTTGTAAAGACAGGTTCTCTAAAAATGTTATCTTTTGTGTTTTTATATGTGGAAAAGAATAAAGAAATCCTTGCCTTATGAAGGTTTTAAATTATATTTAAAAATATATACAAACAATCCAGATGTTATGACTTAAAAATGCAAGGTTTTATAATGATAAAAACCAAAAAGAAACCATCATCGTCTTTTTCAAGACTTGATCTTAATTAGGAAGAATTAGGGACATGGAAGATAGATCTCAAAGAGAAAAAAGTCAAGGCACCTACAGCCTCTGTATCCTGTATGTCTCAGTGAAGTCAAGCCACTACATCTCTACAATTGCATATCAAAGGGAAAAAATGTCATGAGATCCCCAAATTTCTGTTTAACGTGAGCTGCAAATTCAACTAGCTAAAATCTGAGACCATGCTCTTGCAGAACGTATCTTACAGAACCAAATCTAAACCCCTTGATGAGAACCTCATTCCCGGAGGGTCACTGGCTTGTATTCAGACCAGTACTTGTTGGCTAACCAGCCAACAAGTTGCTACATTCTGCTGTTGCTACAGAACACCAAAGGCCAGATCCTTGTTGAATTCCCACCTCCTAATAAAACAAATCATCAGAGAGGAACATGTATTCTGATAAGTGTAATTCACTACACACATCTTATGTTACATGTAATTCCATTGGATCCGCTCAGACTCAAGTGCTGTGGCTTAGACCAAAAACCACCTTCTCCTCATCTGCACTGAAGAAACTGTGACCAAGGATGGAGTGAACAGACCAGACTGGCGCACAGCATAATAGGAGGCTTCGAATTAGAAGTCAGAAAATTGTCATTGCACTAGATAGGTGTTTCCCAAAGTGGGAGATACTGGCCGCCCGGGGTCTTACAGGAACAATGGGTTAGGGGGCTAGTAGTAGCTTTCAATGCAATTGGGGGCACTTTTGGTTTGTTCGCATAAAGAAGGAATGTTTCCAGGGGGGGTTGAGTGATTTTCTTTTTTCTTTTTTTTTTTCTGAAAAGGAGGCAGTAGGCCAATGAAGTCACGGAACCTCTGCTCTAGAGCCTGAAGGAGTTACTAAATATGCGTTTGCTGGCAAAGACCACCAGTGGCTCCCATTCGGATGTGTCTTAATTACACAAATTGCAGTGCGGGCACCAACATGCTAAGTATGAGAATATTTAATGTGCCTTTGGCATGTTGAAAGAAATTTAACTATCACCATAGTGAAATTTGGGTACTGGTGTTTTCTAATCTCCAGCCAGCGATCTGACATTTTATGACAGAAATGTAAGTAGTTCCTGATACTTAAGAGAGAAAGAGCCTAAATTAGGATAGGTACAATATCACTTATTTCCTTCTAGAATCATAAAAATATTAATGAGGTAGGTTCAAATGTAGTAACTTTTTCTAATTTGATTAAATTCCTAGAATTTTTATAATTCTGCTCTAAGAAGTGGAAGAAAAAGAAAATCAATACTAATAAGGTTTGGTTGAATATTCATGCACCCCACTGGAACACAGATCTAACTCCACATAAAACCAATGAATTTCTACTTCAACAAATCACTGTTCAAAATTTATATAAGGTATTGGAATGAGTTTGTGTTTCTATACGTATTAAATCAAAATAACAGAATGGACTGTCACTTTAAGACAAATATGATTCATTTGGTGTAATCTATATATTCCTTACTTGCTACTTGCTATTGTGGTAGAGATGTCACTTATTTTAAATTTAAAGTCTTCAAACTTCGTTGAAATAACACTCTCACTACAAGGATAAGGTGAGTTGAATGACATGTGTTATTAAACCAGTTAAATAGTCATTAAAAAATTTAAGTATGTGTTAGCTGCTGAGTTATTAATCAATTGTTCTTTGAAAAACAATTATTGTTTTGAGCTTAATAGTCTTGAGTCTTTTTAGATTACTAAATAAAACATTTCTGAAATCAAAGTTCTTTTCAAAAACCTTTTGATTATATATTAACATTTTAGAGAGAACTATTATTTTCTCAGTTGTCAACTGAACAAAGACTAAACACTAAACACTATCATATGCCAACTGCAAAACATACTAAGTTAAACATATGGAAAGAAAGCTGCCCAGACTTGCTCAACTGGATTTAAGCTAGATGTTTTGCTACAATTCTTCAACTGTCTCTTTAAATAAATTATGAATTTGGATCACTAGTTAGATATCTAATACAGCACAGATGAAATACTGTTATCTAAAATAATGAATTAAGTGAATTTCAAAGTATTCATTAAAATAATAAATTTTGTGGAGCAAAAAGCAAAATACCGAAAGAAACGGAAAGGTCAATATAGCATTTGTATGTAAGTCAATAATGATAGTAGTTTAATAGAGAAGAAACAAAGGAATATATCCAAATCAGGAAGCACAAGAGTTCCATATCGATGTTTACTGAGCTGTCTCTACTTGGCCCACTTGTACAAGGAAACCGACTAACATGTTGGCAATTGCTGATAGAATGCAGATGGTGATGCCTGACAACATCTTTGAGCTCAAACTGGTACCTTCTATTTTAACTTCTTATTTTTATTTCTGAATGTTTGTTTGGGTCCTCTCAGGCTGTTCTCAGGAGAGATTCTCAGACAAAAGTCTCATGAGTAACCGATTTATTTATAACTAAGTCATTATAAATCTGGCTTCAGAGAAAGGTTTGCTAACCATCAGTTATGAGGGAATTAATTCAGAGTCTGCCTGTCTTGAGCACTAACTCCATTTCCAAGGAGAAAGACAATGAAGACAGGAAAAAGAAAAACACTTGGGGCCAAAATATATCTGATGCAAATTGGTCAATAGCAAATACTAAGATACATATGCTTTGGAAGAGACAATATGATATACAAACAACTTATCATTATCAGAAACCTGGCTTTTGTGCCTGATGAAAGCTCCTTTTCAACACCTGAGTCTGGGTACTTTTTTGTCTTAGAAAATGAAAGAAAAGTACACCTGAAATAAGCATATCTAGGAAGGTCCTATAGTAACCCTCAAACATCTCTTAAATCCTCTATAAGCTTAATTCCTTCTATTTCATCGTGTTTCCAAGTTTTCAAAGAGCTTTCATAGGATTTTTCATTTGATCCCTAGTTGACAACTTTGAGGTAGGTATTTATCTTCTGTCTTCACTTACAAACAGGAGGTCTGAGGTTCAGAGAGGCTGACTTATTAAAGGTTGAAAACTAGCACATGGCATAGCCAGGTCTCTTTAGAGTCCGGAACATTTCTTCAAAACGTGATTCTTGGACTTTGAGTCTAAGAATCATCTATGGTATTTTTAGAAGTACAGCTTTGAAAGTCACACCACCTTCTATTAACTGAAGAAGAATCTCTTAGGAGAGGGGCCCAGAATTCCACGTTTTATTATGGCAAATAAAGTGGAGAACTACTGTGTATCAGGTAACGATATAAAAGCATAATGCTGAATCCAACTAGCTTTCCCACTTGGTACAATACGATGGCATCCGGATGGTCCTCAAGGGCAAGTCAGTTTAAGGTTTAAATAGTAGGTTTCAAGCCTGGCTGTGATTAGAATCATCTTGAAAACTTAAAGAAAAACAAAAGAACTCTCAATTATCATCTCAATGACAGGAAGGAGCTGGAAATACAGTTCCCCACAAGATTCTTATCTGTAGTTATGGCTGAGGATCACCTGTTTAAATATGGTTTTCTATAGAAAACGTCGAGCATTTTCCAAAATCTTTCTTTCCCTTTGGATAAATTTCATGCCTGATAAAATTCACAGTTTATCATAAATTATTTAAACACTATACGACAAAAATGTCAAACATTTTTGAGTTAATAGTTTTTAAGGTTAAAAGATACTTCACAGCAAAACTACTCATGCTTCATTTAGCTACAGTGATTTTCAAATACCCCAGATTCATCACTGCTTTGGACTCAGATTATGTATATATAGATCAGCTATAAACAGGAATGATCCAGAATCTGAAAATAAAGGATAGGACAAAAACTGTAGCCTCAATGCTACTGCTGACAATGCAAGTGCAGACAATCAACTCACTGATAGTCGGGCCTGGGTATGGCCTGGTGGCTTCGGCAAGATCACATTTCACTGCAGAAAAGTACAACCATAAATACCGAGAGAACATTCTGCCATTTTGTAACTGTTGCTACCACCAAAAGCCCCTTAATGCGTGATGTTTATATTATTACATGCCTCCAAGAACAGATCTGAATAGGAATCAAAATTTCCACATGGGATAAAAGATGGCTATAAATTAAATTTTTTTCCATCATGCATATGGATGTTGTAAGAACACAGCCAATAAAAGTAATATTTACAAAAATAATAGATTAGGACAATTCTCGGGGAAAATGCCCATCTCTGCCTTCATTCCATTGCTGGTCCTCATTCTGCATCTCCCTGGATAAAGACTGTTTTGACAGAATTTCGAGAAAGCCTTCAGTACACTGATTAGATTCTTCAGTTGCAGTCATATCCTAGTAGCTAAAATACCCTTGCTGATTTATCAAACTCTCCTATGGTTTAAAAACACAGTTCTTTTTCACTTATTGGAAAGAAAACTACAAAGTCCTGCTATTAATCTGAGAAGTCAATCTTGCATAGAAAATTTAATTCTGAAATTCTTGTTTTATTCACAGAACTACCAGAACGTTCTCTCACGACTAGTTCGGAATATGAAAGTTCACTACAAAGCAGTCACCACACGCTTGGGAGTTTTCTAAATATAAAATAAGTAGATTTATAAAAATGCTTACCAGACAAATAAGTAATCTCTTTATAACCTAGAAATAAGTGTTGGCGCGATGACATTAATTGGCGGCATTGTGAATGCCTCGGTGCCCCAGTGTGATGCGATAGAAAAGACAAGATTTTACTTTTCCAGTGGACAATCTGCACCTGACTGAGAGCGTGATAACAGCAAGTTACGGCCATCAGTCATGCAAAGGCAAAAAATAAAACCTGCTTTTTCAACAGCACAAGTTTCCCATGGGGCAGACAAGTTAAGCGCTTGTTCCGTCTTCCTCGATGACCCGGTTCATGCTGGTGCCGTGGGTGATGTGAGTCAGCGGGTTGCTTGTGAGGTCCCTCACGCTGCCGGGGCGCGACTGCTCGTTGAGCCGGTGGGAGCTGCTGTGGCGGGAGTGGTCGGTGAGGCGCGACATGCTGCCGTGAGGTAGTCTCTCCTCCATGCCCCGGTAGCTGCACGGGGTGTACCTGGAGGAGGAGAACTGGCTCAGTGGGTGGCACGCAGCGTGTACAAGGCCACTAACGTGTCTCATGCAAATGTCTCAGGGAGTGCAAGGGCTTGGAGACCGACAGCTACAGAGTAGGGAGCCAGAGTGATAGTATGTATGCAACTGATGGGGGTCCATCCCCAGCCTTGCTTAGGGTTCCCCAAACCTGAACACAGGCAGGTGTGACCCCCCGCAAAAAAGCATAAAAAGTAATGACTGATTTCTGATTCACAGCCATTTCATTAACATGACGGCTGTTACTCAGACGGCTCACTAGACGGGCAGAAATCACCCATTCACTCAGTTCAGAAGTGAGGTTCTAGAGCTTACGAAAGTTGATAAAGAAAGCCGACTGGTTGGGGCCCGAATGAAGACTGGGTACTTTTCTCTTTCAAGTTCAGTGGGGCAAACATGAAAGCTTCTAACTATCTCACGGTGATTCAACAAAATTTTAAGAAAAGTAAAAAAAAAAAAGTTCAGTGGGGCCATGGGCAGGGATTGAGGAGAACAGCAGAGAAATATGACACAGTCCCAGTGAGTCTGGATATGAGTCGAATGATAGCACAGTAGGACAATGATCCCGAGGCTAAAAGACTAGGATTGGAATATAGAATTAGCAGAGAAATTAGTGAAAGCTAAAAAAAGAGACTAAGCAGTGAATGAACTGCAAGTAGTGATTAATTCCACATTCCCACCCAGCTGAAGGCTGAGTTGGCCACCTGGAAATAGGCTTAGTCACTCCTCTCTAGGACTGGAGGCTGTGAGCGCCTTATTTCCTAGAAGCTACAGCTATTTCAACAGACCATTCGAATAACGTGGAACCTAGATTTCTGCCAAAGCAAAATGCCTCTTCTTCCCTGAGTCCAAGGCCAGGTAAGACGTCTTCCTTTTGAGGGTGACAACAGCTGACAGTGCTGGTCACAGAGGGTCTCTGTTCTCCCTCAAGGGCCTTATCTGGAAAGGCAACAGTGGGAGCTGGCTCAAATTTGACTCACTGAGCTCCCTTAGGGGTCAGAAAACTAAAACCCACAGCACACCTTTTATTAAGAGTATTTAATTCAGGACAATAAAGTTCAAAGAAAACCTAACTGAATACGAGTTATAACTTTAATATAGTAAGCATCAGGTGACGTTTCTAAAAATAAAAGGGACATAACAGGCCATTCATTTTACAGTCATCAAAAGAACTAATTATAAGCAGTTATAGAACTAGTTATCAAAAAGTGCTCACTTACTCTTTCATAATAATAAGTTGCATGACTCAATGCAAGTGAGTCCGCTGTAAAATTTAAACAGTTTGAAGACTGATTCAAACACTACTGAGGTGTTTTCATTTTATAGTGGTCTTGTTAAGTGATTTTATTAGATTGGGAATAAAAATGGAGAAGTCCTGTTAATGATGACAAAAGAAAGCATGCTTTTTTGTTTACGACTTGAATAAAGGCTGAGAGAAGGTGTGAAGTGCTGGGTCTCATGCTCTGTATGTGGGGGCCCTGGTTTTGGTCCCTGCACCATCAGGTGACGTCTAACAATTGTGGGGGAAAAAAAGGTAGAAAAGACGTTTTTAAAATTAAAGACTCATTTTTAAACAATTAAAATATTTCTCATGTTAATGGAAAAGTACCAATTCTTGTTTATTAAAAGACACTTTGTGGTACAGATCTAAACTCTTTTAAATTTGATTTGCATGTTTTGGTAAAAGAATCACAATGTTCTCAAATGAAAACATTTTGTAGTGTGTTTATTATTCTAGTTAATCGTTATCATTTTGTAGAATGACCATTGCCCTGTGTGAAGGAGTTTTCCAAATATGATCTGCCAGCTTAGAAATCTTTCATCTCTTTACTCCACATTTTTTGTTTGTTTGTTTGTTTGTTTTTGGGTCACACCCGGCTGTGCCCAAGCTTATTCCTGGCTGGCTCAGCGAACCATTCGAGGTTCTGGGGATCAAACCTGGGTCAGCTGCGTGCAGGCAAACGCCCTACTCACTGTACTGTCTCTCCAATTCCAAATCTATTTCTAATTCAAATTTAAAAAGCAATTATATGATAGAGTATTTTAGGAATATCAAGTTAATTAAAATATAAAGGCAAATAACTATTAAAAATATGAATCGAGTGTTTTTACTTATTTCTAGGCCTCACCCGGTAGCAGTCAGGGGTCACTCCCCTCAGCCCATGCAGTGCCAGGGTTGGAACCTGGTCCTCCTGCATGCAAACCATGTGCTCAGCCAGCTGAGCTCTCTCCAGTCCTGGGCTGGGTATTTCTAAGACAAAAACTGTATCACTGTATCACTGTCATCCCTTTGTTCATAGATTTCCTCAAGCAGGCACCAGTAACATCTCCATTCGTCCTAGCCCTGAGATTTTAGCAAGACAAAAACTACATCTTTTTAATTAATTAATTTTAAAAAATGGAATCACCATGAGATAGAGCAAAACCTAAATCTTTACATTACAAATAAGGCAGATTTTTCACAGGGAAAATCTCCACTAAATTATGTGCTGACAGTTAATTACTTAAGGTAAAGAAATTCTAGAATACATGCAATCTGCCCATGGATAATTAGAAATCGATTACATAGAAAAATTAATTTGCTGGGGATATAGCTCAGTGTAGAGTGCATGCTTTGCATGCGTTATGCCCTGGATTCAATCCCTGACTTCTAAAAGATTTTTAAGAGAAAAATAAAGCCATGAGAAAAAAAAAAAGTGTTCTCAGGGGAAGATAGAGATCTTACTCTGAGCCCTCAATTTGATTCCTGGCACAGCCAAAAAACAAAGCCAAAAAGGAAAGAGAATAAGAATTACAGGGTTTAATTTTATATTTAGGTTTATGGGAGCAACCAAATTTATTTCTCTTTTCATAGTCATTTGAAATGCAATGGCTATGCACTCTAACATTTACTATGAAAATGTGTGTTTTATTTCATATAAGCTGAAGTAAAACAATTATGATAGCTAATTTGTTGAAATATGATGTCATTCCAAGTCAATAGCAGAGAGCCTGAAGATGATTTACTCCTTTTTGATCTCATTTGCCAACATGAATAAAAATTATTAAAGTCCTTGTAATTTTACTGTCTCATTATTTATTGCCTAGTTTTTCCTTCTTATTTACCATAAAATCTTTTCCAGCTCTATTTACCTATTAATCTACTGCTTTTCTGGACTCTCTTCTCTTCTAATTACCAATTACTTATTCTTTGAATTAGACATATGTGTACAAATATATATATATATATATATATATATATATATATTTTGCTTTTTGGGTCACACTCAACAATACTTAGGAGTTATTCCTGGCTCTCTGCTCAGGAATTACTCCTGACGCTGCTTGGGGGACCATATGGGATGCAGGAGATCAAACCTGGGTTGACCACATGCAAGGCAAGCACCATACCTGCTCTACTATCGCTCTGGCCCCCAGTACATATTTTTAAGACTATTTTATTTTACAGGACACTGAGATCAATAAATGTCTCTCAATGAATCTGGACTAAAGTATTTTTTTAATGTAGGACTATTGCTATTTATTCAGCCATTGATTAGGTTGATTGAATTGGGCATGAACTCCGCCTTACTTTTATTTTTTTCCTTCTAATAAATTTATTTATTTAATCACCGTGAGAGCATTTACAAACCTTTTGGGTTTAAGTCTCAGTCATATGATGATGAAACACCCGTCCCTTCACCGGTGCCCATTTTCCACCAAAAACCCCAGTTTACCCCCCAACCTACATCCTACCCCTACCTGTGGGGCAGATGATTTCCACATTACTCTCTCTCTACTTTGATACATCAATATTTCGACACTAGATCCACCATTATTATTTGGGATTTTACCCCAACACTCATATCTGCCTAAAAGGCAACAGTAGACAATTTGTTTTCTATTGCTGATTATGAATTACATATGATGTTGCGTGGCCACAGTAGTGGCCACACAATTTCGAAATTCCAAAATTTTAACAATTAAATCTTGAGGGATTTCTGCTAAAACCTGCTGGGTTCCGAGATTTGTTCCTGAGTCTCTGGGATCATGGCCATTAAGCAGCTTAATCAGGAGCCAGAGAAGCCGTTCGTGGGTGGCAACTCGGGGTCTCGTTGGGGTGGGGAGGAAAGGGCTGGTTCCACCCCCATTCCGTGAGGCCCCGCGTGTCTTGTCATTGAGGGCTCAAACCTAACTGTCCAATGGACTCTGGAGGATGGTGGCTACCGAACCGCCAGGGGGAACAGGCCAAAGCACACAACCTATTCCCGCCTATTCCCACCTACGGTGGCCTGGCACCGTTAACCTACTGTGGGGACCAGACGCATTTCTGCCAAAAAGCGCTGGGTTTCGAGATTTGTTTCTGAGTCTCTGGGATCATGGCCCTTAAGCAGCTTGATTAGGAGCCAGAGAGGCTGTTCATGGGCGGCTACTCAGGGTCTCATGGTGGCAGGAAGGAAAGGGACGGTTCCACCCTCATCCCATGATGCTCCACGTGTCTCGTCACTACGGGTCTAAACCTGACTGTCCAGTGGCCTGTGGAGGATGGCGGCCACTGAGCCATCCAGAGGGAGCAGGTGGAGGGACAGCGCCCTTTCCTACCTGGGGTGGCCCAGTGCCGGTAACCCACTGCGGGGACCGGACGCATTTCTGCCAAAAGCTGCTGGGTTCCGAGATTTATTTCTGAGTTTCTGGGATCATGGCCATTAAGCAGTTTGATCAGGAACCAGAGAGGTCTTGCCTCCAATTATATAGCTGAGCCGGAGATGGTTTGTGGGTGTGTCTCCCACATACCTAACTTCTGGCCGTTTACTTTTTGGTAAACTTTGCCCCAAGTTGTTGGGGTCTGGTCAAAGGCATAGCGGCAGTTTTGGGGTACCTAGAAGTCTGACGGCACCATCAGGCTGCTGATACACTTACCTCACAGGTACAGATTAACCTGCTGGCGGCACCATACCCCCTGGACTAAAGTATTGAGAAGCAGGTTTGTGTATAAATATGATCTCAGAGCCAAGATATTTGGAGATGAGGAGAAAATAATGATCAAAGAGAGTGTTAACATGTAAACTTGAAAAGTAACAGAAAAACAAACCACCGAGAGATGACTTGGAATTATGGAAATAGTTGTTTTGATTTTTTTAGGTTCCAAATAGCCTTGGCATCTTTCATATCTGCTCTGAAGCCCAGGGTGTGGCAGAGGGCCTAGGAGGGCACTGTGCCACGTCACAGCATGACCTTTACAAGCTGCCAATTGTAGTTCTGGGTTCTGGACTTCAAGGGAGAGTTATTCCTAAAGTCAGTAATTACTCATCAGATTCACTCAGCTCCAAGTGTGTACACACTAGTATTGTGCTACATGCTGAGACAGGGCGTTCAGGGGCCTGGCCTGTTTCTCATTCTCCAGAGCAGCAAAATTGACAGAAGAAAGATAACAATACAAAAATAGATCATACTAAAAAAAAAAAAAAGCAGTCAGCTGTCACAGACAGGGGAAGGGAGCAGTTCCTGGAGGGTATCTGACTGTGAAGGAGTGGAAAGGTAGGCCAGGCTCTCACGGAGAGATAGCGCTTGCAATGATGGGCCTGAAGTGTTTTGGACCCATGTAGCCTGAGCTTCTTCAGAGTGTCCACTGCCCTGAGGGCAGCCGGGATCTCCTCTCCCCCCACACAACCCTGACCTGTGCTGGCTCTTCCTCCAGCATTATTTGGACTCTACCTGTTTACCATTTCTTGTTCTTAACCTGTCTCTTCTTAAAACTACAATTCAAGTGATTCTACCTCACCATTATCCTCTTGCTGAGCTCCTTTAAGATGTTTTCATGGGCCAACTCAATCTTTCCAGTTTTCTTAAGTTCTATAGCTCCAATTATCTCTAATATTCACTATTTCATTTATTTATTTATTTAATGGGGGGGGGAGGGCAGAGGAGCATAGCTGGCAGTGCTCAGGGCTTACTCCTGACTCAGGGATTGCTCCTGGTGGGCTCAGGGGACCAAATGGGGTTCCGGGATTGAACCCCGGGTCAGCTGCATACAGGGCAAGTACCTTACCAGCTTCCTATCTTTTTGGCCCCCAACATTCATTATTTTAATGACATATATTCTTTATTTCTTATAAGGCTATAGGTGCCTAGAACAGAGATTAATCTTTAATTTTCTTCTTTTGGGTCAGGGGAGAGGTCAGGAAGGAAACAAAATACCGCAGAAGCAGATTTTTAAAAGGAAGAATGATTGTTTTTCATTTTAGGCACTAGAATTTTAAAATCTTTTTGTCGCTCTAATTAGACATCTGGAAAAAATCATTTTCGGTGTGTTCCTTCCTACAGCTGCGCCCATTACCAACTCCAATCACTTCATTTCCCTTCCAGAGTACTTGGTCCCTGGCTCTCTCTCCTTCCCTACCCTTACCCTCCAGAAGCCTCACTGACTCTCAAGTTCCAAAAGAAGTTCAAGCACTAGTGTTGCTACAAGAAAACACACCCAGCCTTCTCCCATGAGGTGCCCCAGACCAACCCTCCACCACAATTAGCCATTCTCTCCTTAATGCTCCCATAGCAGCTAGAAATTGCCTCCAAGCCTACCTCCCTTTCCCCATTGTTGTAAATAATAGTCTTGGGGGAACTCAGCCATTCGTACTTTAGCCTGTAAGCAGTTCTCATATTAAAACAGCAGAATAGTTATGTCAGAGGCCTCAGGACCAAAAAAGTCTTAAAATATCTTACCATTTTAAGATTTTACTATTTATTTATAAAATATTTATTATGTTACTCTACAGAAAAAGTTTGTTATGTAGTACAAGTCCAGAGGGTAGGTCGCTTGCCTTGCACATGGCCAGACCAACCTAGGTTTGATCCCGAGCACCCTGTATGATTGATTCCCCAGCCCCACCCCATGTGATCCTTGATCACACAGCCAGGCATAAGCCCTGAGTACTACTGGAGGCGGCACAAAAACAAACAGGAACATTTGTTTATCGTTAAAGGGTTGGGACCACTAGCCTGGGTCTGCCGGGAATGGGACCATCTTACTTATTTACATGTCTATATGAATTGTTCACTTACAATCATCATGGAAGTTGATATCTGGCACTTGCTGAGACAGGCAGTGTTCCAAGTAATAAAATATATAATCCTAAATTTGACTTTTATAACATTCCTAACGTGCCAAATATTATCAACTCTATTTACAAATGAGGAAATTGGACTGACAGGCATATGTGATTCCAGGACCCTCTTTTCAAAATCCTTTTTAAGGACAATCGGATGTGTATGATTTCAGGACAGGACAGTGTGAGTGTGTATGTGTGTGTGGGGGTGGTGGGGGAGGTGGAGGTGGGGGGGTGTGATTCCGGGACACACATTCCCTCAGGTTCTTTTGGTTTGGGGGCCACCTTCAGTGATGCTCAGGGGTTACTCCTGGCTCTGAACTCAGGAATTAATCCTGGTAGTGTTCAGGGGATGACATGGGATACCGAGAAACAACCCTGCGTCTGCTGCATGCAAGGCACATGCCCTATCCACTGTACTTTGCTCTGGCCCTGTAAAATCTTTCTTAGGGACACTGTTGTGTGCATAGTATGACAATGCTCACATTTATATTATCTCTGTACAGCCTGTGTCCTGCACAGTGTCATGCTGTCCCAGTAGGTACTCCACAAACACCTGCCATCCACTTCTACCCAACTTCCTCTCCTTGCTCAATACTTTCAGTGCCTTTAACCTTCTTCGAGTGGCTCCAAGTCTGATCTTCATCTGGAATAACTGGACCAAGTTCAAAAGGCTCAGGAACAGCTGCCACACTCTTCCGGATTAAACTGTGTGTGTGTGTGTGTGTGTGTGTGTGTGTGTTGGTGTGTGCCTGGGGCCTCACCTGCCATCGCGGGAGCGGTGCAGGCTGCCATGGTAGCTGCTCACTTTGCTGTGGACGCTTCCCGCTTTGCTCCGCTGATCATCCACCATGGCCAGCTGCGTGGAAGAGGCATGCGTGGATGTCCCTTGGGTGGAAGTTCCTCTGGATTTTCTTATGATAGGAGTATTTGGGTCCCGCAGGAGGGACTGAGCAAAGTCAGGCTCCTGAAGCACCTGTCGGCTCTCGTTCACTATCCTGGAAGACAGAGAGAGGCTAAGAATAAGGTATAGGTTACTGACCCTCCAGATCCAGCAATACCACTTCAGAGACACACTGGTACTACTCTGGAACATCTTCAGTCTAAGGTAAAACTGGCCAGAGGAAAGACTAACACACACCCCTATCACCCTGCCCCTAAGGAGGGACTAGGGAGAGACCTGTCAGAGTAAGGAAATGAGGGCTTCAGCTCCGACTCTATCAATAAGTATGTGATCTTAGGCAAGTCAGTATTCCTTTTCAGTCACCTTTCTTCATCTAAACAATGAAGATGCAGTTTCATGATTTCTAAAATGTCCCTTTCAGCTAAAAAAAACTTTGAGAATTCTAAGAATAGTACAATAGTATAAAGACACTATTATGGAGAAATTATTTTCTCCCTCAGTTTATGGTAGTAGGAGAGACCTGGTGGTAGTGTAGAAAGAACAATTTTTAACTTGTAGGAGCAGCTGTTTTAAGCTACAAGTTGATTTTTATGACAGCAGTAGTAAAGTGCTATAAGAAACACAGAGCATAAATTAGAACAAAACTAATAAAAAATTAATTTGAGCAAATATACAATGAAATCCCAGACATATAGAAAACTCAAGGGGAAAACAGAAGGATATGAATTATTGGCAGGAACAAAAAAGTTTTTAACTGCTATGAAAGGATTCAAGGCAGAGATGATTATGATTTTGTACAAAGCAGTGATTAAATTAAATAAAAGAGCCAGTGAACTAATAATAAAGATCAATGCCTTATTTTGTGTACATGACTATGAGGAGGTTAAAATAAGATCAATGATTTATTGAAAAAACTCCAGGGCCAAAGAGATAGTACAGGAATAAAGGCAATTGCTGTGTACACAATCAACCCTGGTTCAATACTTGGCACTGTGTAGGGTCCCCCGAGCACTACCAGGAGTGACCTCTAAGCATTTGCACAGCAGAGTATGGCCCGACAACCCCCAAATAGATAAATTTTAAAAAGTAGATAAAAAATTTAAATAAAAAGTAGATAAAATTCCAAAAGACTGGGTCATACATTGAGAAAGTACAGTCCAACTGCTCAACGGCAGGGCGGCTGCTGCTGAAGGCTGCTGGTAGAACAGGGAAGAGACACTGAACATGAACATGAGCTCAGGGCCTGCATCGTGCTAGGTCTGGCTCTCTTATGAATGATTTTATTCCAGAGATAAATGTCCTAAAAGGATATAAGAAAACTATCACTAATAAATATCATGATCCCCATTTTATAGGCAAAGAAATGAAAGTTCTAAGGATTTACAAAGCTTTCTAAAAATCACTCAACAAAATCAAAAGTTGTGGATTGAACATAAGTTTAAATGTCTTAGAAGTCAATCATAAAACAATGATAGAACGTTTTATTTATTTAATTATTTTTCTTGCTTTTTGGGTCACACCCGGCGATGCACAGGGGTTACTCCTGGCTCTGCACTCAGGAGTTACACCTGGCAGTGCTCAGGGGACCATATGGGATGCTGGGAATCAAACATGGGTCGGCTGCGTGCAAGGCAAATGCCCTACCCTCTGTGCTATCTCTCTAGCCCTTGATAGAACATTTTAAAATAATGAAAGATACAAGTTTATGAAATATGCTGAAAACAGTATCAAAACTAAACAGGAAAAATAATAAGCATAAAACAGTATAAGTAAACGACTTTTTTTTATCACCAATGGTGATATCACATAGAGCTATATTACAAATCAGTCTTGATCACTATTTTCTAAAACTTAATTATAATAATTATTATATCGCTCGTATATGCCAGTGCTCATTCCTGGTGCTGCTGGGGGTTGAGGTACGGAGTGTCAGGGATCAAACCTGGCATGCAGAGCATGTGCCCCAACCCCTGACCTCTATCCCTAGCTCAGTAACACAGAGCGTGTGCCCCTGCCCCCTGACCTCTCTTCCTAGCTCAGAAACGCAGAGCTTGTGCCCCTGACTCTCTCTAGCTCAATAACGGCTTTCTTGGAGGATGAATAAATGGCTAGGAAATACATTTTTGTATTGTTGTTCAATGAATGTGCCCCTTCTTTCCTTCCCTGTCTTACAGAGCTGAAGTGATTTATTTATTTATTGTGATCGTTTCTGTAGTGCTGACAGTCAAACCCAAGCCTCATGAATACAAAGCAAATACTCTCCCAGTGCTAATATCCCATTCCCTAAAGCTGTATTTAAAAGGGGAATGCATTGAAGGGGGGCGGGGAGTGCAGAGGAATAACACAGCAGGTAGGTGCTTGCCTATGGTCTCCCTGAACCCATCCAGAGTGATCCCTGGGCACAGAGCCAGAAGTCAGCCCTGAGCATTGCTGGGTGTGGCCCAAAATAAATAAACTAATAAAGGGAAACTTCATTATCTGAATTACTAGTTGTCTGAGATATAAGAAGTGTACATTTTTAAACTGTGATTATTTTATCTTGATCTAATTAGTCCGAGAGAAATAGCTAATTACTGGTATCTTAGAAATTAGAGGTTTTGCTGAGGTACTTTGTATTGTATAAGAAAAGTCCTTTAAAAAAAAAGTCCTTTAGCCTATTTAAGGCACAATATTTCATATGTATTCTTGTGAGTTTCAGAGACTATTATTCCCAAAATCATTTTCCATAGGCTGCAGATGAAGTAAGGTAAAGGTAAAGGCCCTCCCGTTGATCGTCGATTTGCTCGAGCGGGCCCAGTAACGTCTCCATTGGAGACTTTGTTGTTACTGTGTTTGGCATATCGAATACTCTCGGTAGCTTGCCGGGCTCTCCGAGAGGGGCGGAGGAATCGAACTCTGGTCGGCCATGTTGGCTGCGTGCAAGGCAAATGCCCTACCGCTGTGCTATCGCTCCAGCCCTGCTATCGCTCCAGCCCGCAGATGAAGTAAAATTCTAAAACTATGAACTCTCAATTCAGATATAGTATACACATAGCGATCATACTAAGTACAAAATTTTAAATTATTTATTCCTGGGCCAGAGAGGGAGTATAGCAGGTAAAGCACTTGCACTGCATACAACTGACCCTAGCATACTGTATATGGTCCCCTGAGCACCACCAGGAGTGATTCCTGAGCACAGTCCTGGAATAGCCCTGAGCATAGCCAGGTATTCCCCCACCTTCCCTCTCCCCTGCAAAAAAAAAAAAAAAATCTGTTCCCACGTGAATATTGTAAGTTCTTTATGAATTAAGAATTTAAAAAATTCAGAGCTGGAGAAGAATCCAGAGGACAAGGTGCTTGTCTTCTATGCGGCTGACCCAGATTTGATCTCCGGCACCTTCTATGGTCACCTGAGCACTGCCAAGAGTTATTTCTGAGTGCAGAGTATGGAGAAACTCCCGGGCACCACTGGGTGTGGCATACTGTCACTGTCACTGTCCTCCCGTTGTTCATCGATTTGCTTGAGCGGGCCCGGTAATGTCTCCATTGTGAGGCTTGTTGTTACTGTGTTTGGCATATCGAATATGCCACGGGGAGCTTGCCAGGCTTTGCCGTGCAGGCAAAATACTCTCGGTAGCTTGCCGGGCTCTCTCAGAGGGGCAGAGGAATTGAACTCAGGTCGGTCGGGTCGGCCGTGTGCAAGGCAAAGGCCCTACCGCTGTACTATCGCTCCAGCCCAGGGTGTGGCATACAAAGAAAAAAAAAAAGGACTAAGGTATGTCCTCTAAAGATGCTTTTGGGCATTTTGTAAAAACCCTACACTATGCACTGTTTTTCCTGACCCAGAGCTGCACACCTGGCCCTTCTGCTCCCTGGGGAGCTCCCACAGCTGTGCTGAAGATTAGCAGGGTGGTGCAAAGGAGCAGTCTCAAATCAGGACACTGCGTGAGTTCACCTTATGCACTAGTGCTATTAGTCTATTTGGGGTTTAACATGGGATCAGCATGCTACCTCCTTAAATCATTAATTCTATCTTGAGAGGAACAACAGACAGGTAGGAATCTAATCTAATCCCCCTGTGATTCTGGCCAAGGCATTTAATTTCCTCCTCTTCCTTATCCTCCTCCTCCTCCTCCTCCTCCTTCTATTCTTGCCAAGGTATTTAATCTTCTTTCTTCTTCCTTCTCTTCTTCTTCTTCCTCCTCCTCCTTTTTTTTTTTTTTTTTTTTTTGCTATACCTGACAATGCTCAGAAATTATTCCTGGTGGTACTCAGGGCACCATATAGGATGCTAGGGATTGAACCGAACCTGGGTCAGCCACATGCAAGGCAAGTGACTTATCCCCTTATCTGCTGTACCATCTCTCTTAATCTCTTAATCTTTCTTATCAGTCACGTGGAGATAAACTATACCAACACAGAAATATCAAGAGGAGCAAATACAGCAAATCGTTAGTAGACCTTAGCTCTAACTGGACATCTTTTCCGATTAATTTTTAATTTCAATTGAGGCGATGCTGTGCCAATTATAACTTGTGGCAGCCAAGGTGACACTCACAGTATTTTCTCCAAATTCAAATTGTCATGACATAAGCAACACAAGAAATCGATATGAATGTGAGATTCACAAATATTCTGATGGTCAATTTCAACTTACTCTTTTTTCCTACGACCGTGAAAAAAACTGGCCCATTCAAAGCAAGTCTTTTTACTTCCAACCCAAAAAATAGAGGGGATTCCCACTATGAGAGCCATCAAGTATTTCATCAGGAAGAGAATCAGGTCCGGCCGACTCATTTGAGTAACCTACAGGAAGAGAAATAAAAATATTTCCAATATACAAAAAGAACTTTCCATTAAAAGCAATCATAAAATTTTAAAGTAAAGTCATAGTAAATTATTATGGCAAATTTGAATATTTGCACTTACATTGTTCTGTAGTGGTGTTGTTGCAAAAAAAATACACTTCTAAAAATGTGATAAGATTTTTGAATCTTATAGATTTTTATCTCAAAATAATCTTCTCTAAAGTGAAAGATTAATACAAAAAATAAGCCATGAGTACAGAGGCTCGAATGAGCTGTAGATTATCCCAGGGGTTTCACAGCTCACAGCTCCTGTCATTCACCATCAAAATTTCCGCCCCCACCCCATATTTTTCTCTGTCCAAAGAGAAAGAGCAAGCCGATCTAGGTGAAATCACTTGTAAAGTAGGATTTGAAGTGAATGACCTCGGCCAGCCACTGCCTTCCATTCTGGATAGCTGACTGCGCTCTAAAATACGGTTCTTTGGAGTCCTTACAGATGTGGTCTCACACCTTTGTCTTCATACATGTGAAATTAAGCCTCGGGAGGTGACTCTGGAAGGTATCAGAGAAGCAGCAATGAATGAGTCTAGGAATCCCCTACACTGTTAGGTCTCTTCACAGGGAGGAATGGGGCCGGGGGAGGATGGAATGCTGCGAGTAAGCAAGGAAAGAAAGGCATCATGTTGTTTTCGGCAGTAATATACTCAGAACTATACAGAACAGGGAATAGCATTTGGGATATGGTGTGGTGGGTGGAGAGAACAGGATACAATTATGCAGGGATTTGGAACATGTTCTGTAGTGACAGTATTTGAAGTGGAAGGAACAGCATTAGCGGTAATCCTAAGAGAACACTCTCTCTCTGAAAATAGAAGGCCAGCATGATTAGAGTTGAGCACATACGTAGAACAGCAGGAAAGAAGGCAAAAAAAAGCAGGCGGGAGCCAAATTACATATGGCACTGCAGGCAACAGTAAGAATCACAGATTCTATGCTACCAGTAATAGGAAGTCACTGGGAGGGTTTTGTCTGAAGGGCAGCAAGACCTCATGTTTAAAAAAGGATCATCCTTGGGTTGGAGAGATCGTACAGCGGGCAGAGCGCTTCCTTTGCGGCTGACTCTGGTTGGATCCCCAGCATTCCATATGAGCCCTTAAGTCTGAGAGAAATAATTCCTGAATACAGAGCCAGGAGTGACTCCTGAGCACAGCTGGTGTGGCCTTCCCCCAAATAAAAACAAAAACAAAACAAAAAGGATCATCTTGGCGACTGAGGTAGAAATAATCAAAAAGGAATAAGATAAAAGAAAATGGACAGGGGGGCTGGAACAATAGCACAGCGGGTAGTACGTTTGCCTTGCACATGGCTGACCCGGGTTCGATTCCCAGCATCCCATATGGTCCCCCGAGCACCGCCAGGAGTAATTCCTGAGTGCACGAGCCAGGAGTAACCCCTTTGCATCACTGGGTGTGACCCAAAAAGCAAAAAAAAAAAAAAAGAATTGGACAACACAAGAAGGGCATTATGGCTTTCAGCCATGGGATAGCTTGGAGGTAGAAAGTGAGAAAGTCAGGAGCACTGAAATCTGAGAGGAGGAGGAGCAGGAGTCTCAGCAGTTTGTGAATGGGGGTGAGCAGGGACCAGCTGCAGAGATTAGGCAAAGGAGAAAATGAGAGCACTCTACCTCCCACCTGGTAGGCTGGCTGTGCCCTACTGCCCCGAAAATGAGAAGCAGAGGAGAGGCACGGGGAAAAACCCTGTCTTGTCCTTCCTATCAGGCTCTAGGCGACAATATGCTCTCTCCAATAAATGAGAAATACTAGGGCCAGAGTCATAAGACAGCAGGGAGTGCTTGCCTTGCATGCATCTGACCCGGGTTTGATCCCCAGCATACCAGAAGGTCCCCCAAGCACCACCGGGGGGATCCCTGAACTCAGAGCAAAGAGTCATTCCTGGACATTACTAGAGGTAGCACAACAGGAGACAGTACAGCAGGTAAGGTAAGCCTTGCACACGGTCAATCTGGGTTCAATCCCCAGCATGCCATACATGTCCCAGTTCTGCCAACAGTGATCTCTGAGCACCGAGCAGGAGTAAGCCCTGAGAACCTTTGGATGTGGGCCCAAAACGGAGAGAGAGAGAGAGAGAGAAAAGAGAGAGAAAGAAATACTTCCTGTGCACATAATGGGAACCCTTCGACTGGAGGGGAGTGCTAAAAACTTCAGACATACCAGCACCAACCAAACCCCTGTGAGGCAGAATAATGCAGAGGAGAACTGAGAAGAAGAAAAGAAACACAGAACATTGTATGCTCTGATACAGTGAGAAAGCAACTCGGGCAACCTCCGCGTGGTGAGCACATTCGGGCACTGGGGAGGAACGAGGAAGCTGCTGCTCTGGCTACGGGAGGGAGCACGGTTCCACCATCCTGACGGGGATCATAAACAAATGCAGGAAGCTGGGAGGTAAGCAGAGCGTGTACCAGCTGGGAAGGTGAAGCCCACTGAAGAAAAACACCTCAAGGAAAGGAAATATCACGTCCAGGTTTTACTCTTAAATAGCTATGAAATATCTAAGCGCCTGTGAATTTTTTTTTGTTTGTTTATTTTGGGCCACATCTGGCAATGTGCAGGAGCAATTCCTGGCTCTGCACTCAGGAATTACTCTTGGCGCAGTGCTCAGGGGACCATCCAGGGATCAAATTCAGGTCAGTCTCATGCAAGGCTTCACCTTCCCACTCATCTATCTCTCCAATACCCATACCTATGAATTATTTAAGAAAAAAAGTCACAAAATGTTTCAGTTCCTTAGATTATTAAACATGTGAGAAACTTCATTCTTCTACTGTATTACTATTAGTGTTAAAGTATATCATATAACTGAGAAAGTACATCAGATAGGTTTCCTTGGCCTGTTTACTGAGCATGGTGACGTCGGCATTAATGAAAGGCCCGTTTTAATTCCTTTCCTTTTCTACATCAGCCTGAATAGCTGTGACCAGCTCATCTTCACTATCTGCTGAACTGAGCTCCAAAAACACCCTCTAATTGTAACCAACACAATTGTGCAATAGAACCTGGTTCAACCATAATGTGGAAAATATTTTCTGATACTGTTTTTCCGATTTTATATCCATAATCCATCGAAGACCCTGGGGCTTAAAACTATCTTTAAACAGGAAAAAATTATTTCTGCTAAGGGAGGGGAAAAGCCTTGCACAAGAGGGGGAAAAGGCAAGGAAGGCCAGCCAGCCACCAAGGTCACATTTATGGCAATTGTGACAGCTTAAATTCAATTCTTTCTCCTGAGACTCTGGCTTTGTGTCAGCCTGCAAGGGCCCCTGGCTTCTTTCCTCTCAGAAGAATCTATACTTTTCTATTGTGGACACATTTTCCATTAGATCTGCATTAGGTTCAGGGGGCCAGAGCAATAATTAGGGCGTTTGCCTTGCACATGGCTGACCTGGGTTCAATCCCCGTCATCCCATATGGTCCCATGAGCACTGCCAGGAGTGATCCGGGTATGGCCCCAAAACAAATGAACAAAAAAAAGGTTTATCATAAAATGTTGGTTTCTACTCGGCCTGTGGTCAAAGAAAGTGAATGTAAAAATAATGTTAATTAGGTTTTCACTGACAATAGTTCTACAATGGAAGTCTTCTGATTGCAAATTTTGTATACTTTCTACATTACATTGCTTTCCTCTACTCAATTTTATTCTGCTTCGAAAGACACCTACTTATTGAATCAGACATAAGGGTCAATCATAATACTACAGCACTGAGGACAAGAACGGAAGGTTAAAAATACAGGATACAGGATACAGACGAGGAGAGAATGATGAAGTAAGTTACATATATGGAGTGACTTACTAAGACATAGGACTGACCAGAAGAAAAAAGCATTGTACTACTCAATCACAGATAATAAATTAACATTACATTAAGTCATTACAAATCAACCAAGGAAGAATAATGGTGGCTGGATTTAGGAAGACCTTAAGGTTTTCTTTCCTACAAGGTTTTTATAACCTAACAGAAAATGATGATCCTACATGAATCAATTAAAATTAAATTAGAAAAAAAGATAAGATTATATAGACAATAAAGTCTTCTTAATGAAAAACCTGAAGAAAGCAAATCCAATTTTAATACTATAATGTTTAAAGGAAAAATTATACATGAATATATGCAAAACACTTTTGGTAATGATATTACATTTTAATTTTACTAATTTGTTTTGTTAAGTAATGAAGTTTTGCCCTTAACATTACCGAGGTTTAACTGAACGCGCTACCTCTTTTGGTGGGTGTGGTGTTCGGGTCACTTCCAGCAGTGCTCAGGGATTATTCCTGGCTCTGTGCTAAGAGATAACTCCTGGTGGTGTTTGAGGAACCATCTGTAGTGTCAGCTGAATGACAGGCACTATCCCTGCACTCTCTCTCTGGCCTAATATGATATTTAAGAAAGGAAGATTCTATCAGGGCGGGATATCAGGTATTTTGTGATAGTTCAACTTATGCAATGGTTGGCAGGTCTAGCCGTGTTCACACTTTATTCTTTATTTTGAAACATTAATACTTTTAAATAAAGACAAAGAAAGGACAACAGGGAAGTCAGAGCTTCTATCATTGCAATGGAGGGGATGGTTTGGAAACGAGAGGCACCACGCAGTCCAGTAAGTCACTCCTTTAACTAGGTTTATATCTAGCTACACTCGTTCTCTGAGTTCATCCTTTAATTAATTTTTAACCCAGGGAGAAATAAGTATAGTGCACTTAAAATCAATACTCAAGCTTCACCAAGCACAAACTCCACATTTAAAATATTCTGCAAACAAGCTCACTTTCTTCTCAAACACAGAAACTGACTTGAAATGATTCTTCCTTTGAAATTCAAATGCAAGGCTAATGGAATGAGGAAAGTTAAGCAATTTAGATTCAATTTACCAATTGCTGCCATAAAGCTCTGGGCAATTACTTTTAGATAAATAAAAAAAT